GTGGAAAGCACTCTCTGCTCTGCTACTCTGTGCAGACACTGGCTCGGCCTATTGCAAGTGCATGCCATAGACAGAATGGACAGGCATCCAAATGACTACAACTGGTCAAGAGCTTTCACACATGGTGAAAATAGAAGAGGCATGATTGTTTGGGCAAACGTGACCTCAGAGTGTGTCTGTGTGAATATGTTGATGGCTTGGTTGTTTTGAGTACGTGCTGTGTGTTGTGAGAATGGTGGGTGGGTGTGAATGTGTGTGTGAGCAGTGTACATCCAAGACATAAATAGAAAGCAAAGGGGGTGATGTCATAAGCCACAGACAAAAACTCTGTAGCCAAATTCCTTCAGCGTGGACCTGTGTGTTTTGCCTGTATGTGTAACTGGCACAAGTCTGGTCTTTTGTTCTGTGTGTTTAAAATGATCTCTGAGGACCAGGCTCAGTGGCTTATGCCTGTAATCCCAGCACTTTGGGAGGCCAAGGTGGGAGGATTACTTGAAGCCAAGAGTTTGGGTCCACCCTAGGCAACATAGCAAGACCCCATCTCTAGTGAAAATTTTTTAAATTAGCTGTGTGGTTGCATATGCCTATAGTCCCAGCTACTTGGAAGGCTGAGGTGGGAGTGAGGGAATGTGCTCTCTTTCTGGGTCCACAAGGGGATGTAGTTTTAAGGGCAAGAACTTCCCAGTGCCATGCCCCCCTCCCATCTCTCTCCATCCGGGAGATTAAACAGTTTACATCTGAATTTTGTGGGCGTGGAAAGAAACTAAGAGTCAGTCACTCCAGCGGAAGTTTTAAGGAACTCCTTTCATTGATCTGGGGTCTTAGAGAAGGTGGGGCTTCCTCCCAGGTTAAGTCCCCTTCTTCCACATCCGTTTGGACTCCATGTTTGGGTCTCCTTCCATGAACACTCTCGTGGAAGCTGTTTTTCTCTATCCTGATTTCCCTCTGGAGTCCCCTTCCACACTCTCTCGTGGAAGCCTGTCTTCCCCTCCTAAACTCCATCTCTCTCTCTATTCCCTTATACTCAGTGTGGAAGCTGCTTTCCTCTCTTGGATTCCACCTTTCTGGATTCTCTCACCCAGTGTGAGAGGAACTTTCCTTCTCTGGTTTTGCCCCTCTGGAAACCCTCCTCACTCAGTGTGAGAGCGGCTTTTCTTTCTCTCACTCAGTGAGAGAGTTAGCTGTTTCTCTCTCCTTCTCCATTTTCTCTCTTTATATAAATCACTTTCTACAAACACTTTTGAGTCCGGCATTTACTGCACACTGCACTGTGGTCACCTCTCTCATTCTTGAGAGGGCAGGAGACCAAGAACCTGGAGAAACATTCTCTCAGGGGAGCTGAGGGCACCCTGAACTCCAATATTACAGGAGGATTGATGGAGCCCAAGGTTCGAACTGGAGTGAGCCGTGATCATGCCACTGCACTCCAGCCTGAGTTGAAAGAGTGATACCTTATCTCAAGAAAAAAAAAAAAAAGGGGTGAGTAGATGCGTTACTGTTGTGTGTATTTGTACATGAGCTTATATACGTAAATGTTGGGTTTTGCTGTGGTCTGAATGTTGGTGTCCTCTCAAAATTCATGTTGGAACATACTACCCAATGTCCTGTATTAAGGGATGGGGCCTTTGGGGAAGTAATTAAGTCATGAGGGCTGTGCCCTCCTGGATGAGATTGACACCCTTATAAAAAGGGTGATTGAGAGGAGCAACCTTGCCCCTTACAACAAGAAGCTACCGTCTTGGAAGCAGCATCCTCACCTGACATCAAATCTGCCTGTGCCTTAGTCTTGGCCTTCCCAGCCTCTGGAACCATGAGAAAGACATTTCTGTTGTTTATAAGTTACCCAGTCTAAGGTATTTTTGCTATAGCAGCCTGAACACACTAAGGTAAGTATGTTATGTGTTTATCTATGTATATCTGTGTGTGCTTCTGGCCAAGGCTGGGGACAGGATATAGTGTGCGACAGTGATGGATTCTGGCTTCCCTACAAGCCTAGGATTCTCTGTCCCTATAAACTGGATACAATTCATCCATCCTGAGTGAAATCCTAAAGGTCTAGATCAATCAAATACGGCTTTGACCCCTGACACCATCCCCTTGCCACTCAAACCCAAGCCACCCAGAAACACCTCACCTGCTAGGCCCCACCACCAGAAGAAGCCTCTAACACAAAGGCTGACAACACAAAAGATTTCTGTCTTAGCCTCCCCTCCTTCAGTCCCTCAAAGAAAAGGGACTGCAGTTGAAACTGAACCGTTCATGCTGGCTGTGCTCTGCAGCACTGTGACACAGACGTCCCAGTTTCCCACCCAGAGCCTAGAGGGGCCGGTTGGAGAGCCCAGATAATTTCCTCATTACCTTGTCATCTCCTGAAAGCTGCTTACTCTAGCAGGCCCCCTCTATTCTGAGGCTGACATTCCTTCTTTGCTCATTTCTCTCTGCTTTTGTCTAATGAGGTGCAGGAGTCTGCTGAAACTGACAATAGAATTACCCGGGACTCTAGATTCTGTCAATCTCCATTAGGAGCCCAGGGAGAGAACAGTCAAAGCACTGGGACACCTCGGTGCTGTTATTGTAGTGGGGTTCATTGCGAGAGCAAACAAAACAGCATTCGCCCCAGATGCTCACCCTGGGCGGATGAGTCACTCTGGCTTCCAGCCCACGCTGCAGCATCCACCTCACCCCACCACTCCAAGGAGCCAGAGCCCAGGGAAGTCATGAACCTCGCTGCTGCCTGTACAGGGACATCGGGGAAGCTCACTCTTCCCCTGAAGATCTGCCTAAGGTTGGCTCAACACCCTCTCTTCATTTCATGACTTGTGGACCATCCAAAGCCACTCCTCGATTTCTGTAATGTTCTAGGTGATGTTCTCTTGACCACCTCTCATTTCAAGCAACATGTGAATTATTCGGTATATGGACCATCTCTCTGATCCTTCCACCTCCCATGTGCTTTTTTTAGGTTTCTACCATTTCAACTCCTTATGGAATTCAGTCTGTTTTTTTAATTGATGGGAAAAGACCACTTAAAGGTAAGTCTTTTCAACAATGGTGCTGGGGAAGAAAAAGATGTCAACCTAAACCTCTCAAAGTTATTATAAAATTAACCCAAAATTAATTTTAAATGCATTAGTTTACAAGTGTGATGGCTCATGCCTGTAATCCCAGCACTTCGAGGGGCTGAGGCAGGAGGATCATTTGAGCCCAGGAGTTTGAGACCAGCCTGTCCCACATTGTGAAACCCCATCTCTACTAAAAATACAAAAACCTAACCAGGGGTGATGGTGTGCACCTGTAATCCCAGCTACTTGGGAGGTTGAGGCAGGAGAATCACTTGAACCCAGGAGGCAGAGGTTGCAGTGAGCCGAGCTCATACTACTGCACTCCAGCCTGGGCAGCAGAGAAAAACTAACTAAATAAATAAATGTATCCATGTATATATGTTATCATATGTAAAATGTAAGACTAAAAACTTTTAGAAGAAAGCTTGAGAGAAAATCTGTGAGACCTTGGTTAGTCAGAGTTTTTGAACAAAATACCCAAAGCATGATTCACAAAAGAAAAAAGATAAATTAGATATTATCAAAATTTAAAATTTGTTCTGCAAATGACACTGTTAATAGAATAAAAATATATGCCACGGATGGGGAGAAAATATTTAGAAATTACATCTTTTATGCAGAATATCTGAAGAAACTTTGGCCAGGTGTGGTGGCTCACACCTGTAATCCCAGTACTTTGGGAGGCTAAGGGAGGAGAGTCCCTCGACTCTGGGAGTTTGAGACCAGCCTGGGCAACATACTGAGACCCTCCATCTCTACAAAAAATAAAAATTAGCCAGGCATGGTGGCATGCACATGTAGTTTCAGTTACTTGGGAGGCTAAGGCGGGAGGATCCCTTGAGCCCAGGAATTCAAGGCTGCAGTAAGACATGATCACCACTGCCCTACAGCCTGGATAACAGAGTGAGGCTCTTTCTGAAGAAAGAAAAGAAAAAAGAAAGAAGGAAGGAAGGGTGAAAGAGAGAGAAAGAGAGGGAGGGAGAAGGAAACAGGGAGGGAAGAAGAGGAAGGGAGGGAGGGAGAAAAGAAAAAGAGAAAGTGAGAGAGAAGGAGGGAGGGAGGAAGGAAGGCAGGCTCAAAACTCAACAATAAGAAAACAAACACCACTAGAAAAAAAAAGACTAAAGATTAGAATAAGGACTTCTCCAAAGATATATAGGAATGAAAAATAAGCATATGAAAATGTGTTTAACATCGTAGTCATTAGAGAAATGTTAAATTAAAACTACATTGACATACCACAACAAACCTATTAGAATAGCAAATAAATAAATACAGCTGACAATAGCAAGTGCTGGTGAGGTTGTGGAGCAACTGAAGCTCTCATTCATCACTGGTGGGAATGAAATAGCACAGCCCCTTTGGAAAACAAGTTGGCAATGTCTTATGAATACCTACCATATGACTACAATCCCACCTGCTCATAAATAGGGAAACTCACATTCACGTAAAAACCACTACATAAATGTTAACAGTAGCTTTATTCATAATTACCAAAAGCTGTTATAATCCAAATGTTCTTTAACTGGCAAATAGATAAAATGTGGTACCTCCAACAGTGCTACAGTGGAATACTACTCAGCCATAAAAAGGAACAACTACTTGATACAACAACATGGAGGAACCTTAAATGCATTTTGCTAAGTAACAGAAGTCAGACCCAAAAGGTTGAATATTACATGATTTCTTCTGTATGACATTCTGGTAAAGGCATAACTATAGGGACCAAAAATAGATCAGTGGTTGCCAAGGGTTAGTGGTGGGTAGAGGGGTTGTCTCTGAAGAAGCAGGACAAGGGCATTTTTGGAGTCATTAACTTGTTCTCTATCATGATTGTGGTAGTATATTCATAACTCTATACTTGTCAAGACCTACTGTACCATGTGCCATAAAAAGTGAGTTTTAGCCTCCAACGAGGATCGTGCGAAGCTTTCTATTATGGCTTCCAGAGGGGTCCTGGTGGGCGCTGCCGGCTCGGCTAATGAAACCCCGGAAATACCGGACAATGTGGGAGATTGGCTTCGGGGCGTCTACTGTTTTGCCACCAGTAGGAATGACTTCTGGAGGAACTTGATCCTCAATTTGGGACTCTTCTCTGAGGGAGTTTGGCTGGCCAGGAACTTGAGTGACATTGACCTCATGGCACCTCAGCCAGGGGTGTAGCCAAGTAGCCAAAAGGAATCCTGGGCTGAAACCGAACCTTCTAAAACACAGCCTACAATCTGTGACCATCACAAGATGTGCCCTGATGGCAACTGAAGTGTGGTTCATGGGCACTTTCCTTTTCCTTATCCCTGCCTAGTTTCCTTTTGTTCCTGAGTCCACACAGAATTCCATTCTCTGGTCAGCAGACAAGTTTAAGCTAAAGTATTGCCTCTGTTCTGTAAAGTTCTGTACAAAGTTCCTAAGCTTCTCCAGGGAGTGATCTTTGCTCTTGTCCTGAGAAATAGCAATGCTGCTTTAACAAACATTTGAAATAAATACTGCACACAAGGAAAAAAAAAGGTGAATTTTACCGTCTGCAAACTTTTAAAAATTGACCAGAATATTGTTGGGAACGCAAAATGGAATACAAACTAAGAAATCAAACTGTGACGCAAAGAAATCCTGTTGTTACATTGAAAGAGATAGAAAAGAAAGTAACTAACAGAGGTAACTGTGGAAGACAGTTTAGAATGGATGCTATAAGACTGAAGACCAGAACTGTGTTGAATGTGGCTTTCGTTAGGCAACAGCAGAAAGAACTATACACAGTGCTGAACTATAGTAAGTAAATTTGCTCTTCACAGAGATATGGGTTAGCAATTACGAACTACTTTATGTGTGTGTGTGCAAGTTAATACAGTCAATTCTCATAGACTGCAGTAGCTGCATTCTATAGACCACTGTAAATACTGAATTAGCAAATACTGAAGTATGGTTCCCAGGGGAAATAAAGAGTTAGGCTCCTGTGAGCCTCTGGTCATAACATTTTCATCAACCAATCAATACATTGCCTTGTTTTGTGTGTTTCTGTTTAAAGACATTTTATTTACTATATGGTAGTGTTCATTCACTGCCATGGAACTCATGGCCAACCAACCGTGCTGTAACTCATGCCTGGATGAAGCCTGTCTAACGCAGGTATTTTCTTTGTAAGGCTCATAACAGCCTTTTTGTGCTCAGGAACATTAGACAGCACGTCAGCACTACACTTGGGGGGCATTTTAAACAGCAAAATCACCAACAAAGAGCATAACAATGGGAAAACATGACACTAAATCGTGACAAGGACGCTTGTTTACCACGTGACAGCCAGAGCAAGAAGGCAGAACAGAGCCTTGTTTTTACCTCAGCTAAGAACAAGCACATGGGGCAAAAGTTTTTGAAGCTCTGGGCATGTCAACGAATGACTGGCCAAAGGCCACAAGAACTGGCTTTGGAGTTATAAATTATAGGTAGCAGGAGAAATTGTAAATAGAGAATCCGTGAATAGCGAGGATCAACTTTATATGGTAGATAGCAAGAGACAGATGAGGGGAATGGGGCATCAACCCAACCATCTCTCGAGGCCAGTCACAATTGCTAAGTGTACCAGACATTTTGGAGTTCAAACTCATTGCATGCAAGCAAGCTGGAAGGGCCCTTAGACACCAAATATTCACCACTCCTTTTGCAAAGACCACTGAGGCCTAGGAAGGGATACACGGCTTGTCCAGGTAATGCTCGGAATAGTCCTCTGTGTTTCTTTCCCATCATGGCCCTGGGCTGCCTCGGTTCACCTCTCAAGGATCTGAAGTCCTGAGGGCTGGGAATTTCGTAGGGAGGAGTTAGCATGTTTAAAACCCAGGCCTCAGTTCAACCAGAAGAATCTCTCTCCTGCCACAGATCTGCCGGAAAGAACTTCGAAATAGCCAGTGGAGTGCCAGGGCTCAGACTCAGACCGCCTCTGTTTCTATCAGGGCTCACTCCTCGGGTGATCTCATCCATTCTCATTACTTTAAGTACCATCTTTATGCAACTTTACATCTCCAACCCAGACCTCTTCTTCTGGACCCCATACTCGATTTCCAACTGTCTTCTTGGCGATGCCATGTGGCCTCTAAAAACCTAACATCTCTCAAGCAGAGCTTTGATGCCCTCCCCCAACCTGCTGCTCCTGGCCCCATTCTTTCCCACCTTAGTAAATAGCCGCTGGAATTGCTAAGGCTAAATCTGAAGCATCATACTTGAGTGCTTTCTTTCTCTCATATCATATGTACAATTCAGCAGCCAATCCTGTTGGCTTGGGGGACTTCTTACCACCTCCATTGCTACCACCTAGGCCCTCTGACTACTGTGTTTACAAATCTCCTGAGTTTTGTTTCCTATTTCCAGCCTTGCCCCACACAGTCTGCCAAATCCTGATTAGAATTGTCCTTATAAAATGTCAGGTCACATCACTCCTCTGTTCAAAACCCCCCAATGGCCTCAAAGCAAAATCCAAGGCCTGCAGATGACTCCCAAAAGCTGCGTGAGCTCTGATCTCTTCTCCCACCCTACCCCGCTTCACCCCAGCCATACGACTCCTGGCTGTTCCTGAACACCTGGGCAGTTTCAGCTGGGCCTGTGTTCTTGGGGTCCCCCTGTCTGGGAAGTTCTTTTCCCAGAGAGCAGGTTTGTGGCTCTTCAGTACTTTCCCCCTGGTCCCAGGCAAGCAGGAGGACATCTGGGTTGGAAACCTTAGCTTGCCAGGTGGAGTCTGGCCTAGACCTCATGTTTTACTGAGCTCTGCTCCAGTGTCCCTTTATCAGAGAGCTTTGCCAAACTGCACCATCCCCATCACTTGGTATCCCCTTCATCCTGGTTTGTCTTTTTTGTTTTGACAGAGTCTTGCTCTATCACCCAGGCTGGAGTGCAGAGGTGTGATCTTGGCTCACTGCAACCTTTCTCTGCCTCCCGGGTTTAAGCGACTCTTGTGCCTCAGCCTCCCGAGTAGCTGGGACTATAGGCACGCACCACCATGCTGGGATAATTTTTGTATTTTTAGTAGAGAAGGGGTTACACCATGTTGGCCATCCTGGTCTTGAACTCCTGACCTCAGGTGATCCCCTGCCTCGACCTCCCAAAGTGCTGGGATTACAGGTGTGAGCCACCGTGCCTGGCCCTGGTTTGTCTTCTGAACACTCTTTGCCACCTGCTCCACTATATCTATTTATTTGTGAATTGTCTGTCTTCCTCCACTAGATCGGAAACTCGGGTCTAATTCCCTGTACCTAGAATATTGCCTGTAGTATAGTAGGTACTCAAGGTTTTGTTGAGTGAGAGAATGAATAAAGTAGGAGGCACTGGAGGCTCTGGGTTGAAAGGCAAACTTGCCTCCTGCTCTAAGGATCAGGAGGAGACAGCAGCTAAGGAAGCCAGTTCTGAATTTTCCCTAGGGATAGGGAGTAAGTGGGGGGCTCTCTGAGGAGCCCTGGAAGCGCCCACTCTGCCACCAAGGCTTCGAGGAAAACAGGCCAGGGTATCCTAACAGCCTCCACTCAGAAACACCTGGAAACTTTTAATGAGACAAAATAACAAATGTCATAGTTTGGAGCTCGATGCGGCCTCCCGCTCCTCCCACCCCTGTCCCACACACCCGGGCCCACACTGAATGCCCTCAGCCCCTCCAGCTGCTCAGGGTCCGGTTTTCCTGCCCTCTGCTCCTGTTCACAGAGCCAGCTTCCTCCCGCCCCACACAGAAGTTCCCAGAGCTCATCGGGAACCTTCTGATTTGCATCTCCAAAGAAATAAAATTCCACTAAAGGCTGTTTGTTTTTCCTTCTGTTTGCCCTGAGGCGGGCCTGTTGTGGCTCCTGGGATCCAAAGTGGGTAATCCAGCCGATGTGTGGTTCAGGGAGCCGGGACCTTAGAGGCCTTTACAATAGAAAGGGGAGACTGCAACTCCCGTTTGAAAGGAGATGGCGGGAGAGGCAGGAGGAGGAAAGATAAATCGACATCAAAACCTGCCTGACACAATTATAGCCACATTTGCATAACAGAGACCGAGAACTCGCTTAGAAGGAGTGGTAATTAGATTCTCTGGTGATTAGGGACACTTTCCGAACGTGGGGAGAGGAGAGGGAAATCCAACCCTGAAGTGGAAAAAGAATGTACAGAATTGAGGCTCGCTGTTGGGAGGCGGGAAAGGGGACGCAGACTGAGAGCTAATTGGCTCTAGGCCAACACCTCCTGGCAAGCCAATGTTTCCAGCCCAGATCTACGTGTCTGGACTAGCGGGGGAAAGCGTTGAAGACCCACAGACCTACATGGGGGGCATCCAAGCTCCTCCCCAGACCAGCTGTATGACCTTGTGCACCTGTAACCTCCCTGAGGCCAGGTAACTCACATGCCAAATAGGGTTTAGAGGGCTGCTGGATGCTTAAATGAGATACCGTTGGAAGAGGGTGTGGAGGATAGCACACAACCAGTGGGCTCGTTTGAAAGACACCTTCCCAACTCTCTTCCCCATGGGTGTCTCACAACAACTGCGTTGCTTCCGGTAGTGCTCCATAGTGCCAGGTTGACGCCCTTCACAAGGAGATAGCCTGTGAGGTAGGAAGGCAGTGACTCCAGGGTGGGAAAGAAGCTAGCAGCCTTGTGGCTGGGGCGTCTGTGAATACAGAGGCCTAGGCATGTTAGGAAACATGGTCTCAGATCAGCTCTCTCTCGAGCCTCAATTCTCACTTTCTCTGCTCTAGAAAGCATGACATCATAGGGGTCACCTTGAATGCAATATTCATGTATGTATAAAAACCATTTGCAAATGTGGATTCCTTATTATTAGTAACAGATAATTTGTATCATACCTCCTACTGCCTGGGTTATGAGCTTCTGGATGACAAGGACAGGATCTTTTACTTTTATTATCATTTTAAATTTCTGGCACTTGGCACATAGTGGGTGATCAGGAAATGTTTAATGAATGTCCAACCACTTTTGACACTTCCTTTTCCTCCAGTGTAGTGGGATTGGTCGATGGCAGGGGATTCTTTCAAACCAGACACCTTAACTTAGGTCTATATGGCCTTCATGACAGCAAAGAATTAAGGGGTTTGGGGGGACTTGTAATCCTCCCTACATGACTTCCATGCAAGGTCAGGATTTTGGAACCAATGCCCTGGGTTTCCAAGAAAAGACTGAATTGCAAGGAGCTTCTTTGAAACAGATCAGATTCACGTCATCCTCACCTCTCATCTGGACTCCAACGTTAGAACATAATTGCTGTGATTAGAGATG